ATAGTATCTTCTTCAGCTTTTCCGCAATACTCCTTCTACCTCCATGACTCATGTGAAACCTGGCTTCCAGTGATAACAAAATGCCCTTCTCCACTGGAGGCCTCTTAGCCTCCAACTCTATGCCCAACGCAGGTTCACAGGACCAAGGGGCAGAGTTGATAGACTTTCCACATAGAATGGTAAAAAGAGCATAGGCAGTGCTTGCTTCTTGTACAATGTATACTTTGTAGAAGGTGAAAGTGCTCCGTAATCCACTTCCCACAGACAATTAGTGTATATTCTTTTGGGCATCATATATATATAATGTATCTAATTTACCTATGTACACTTAAACACACTTATACATCCATGTTCTATTTATCTACGTCTATATCTGTATTGACACCTCATTCTTTGTAAGTGAATTGGCTTTCACTTTATACACTTTCCTTTTTACAGCATTTTCATTTTAACATGAAGTAGGTTTAACATACTCCCTTTCCTCTTTGCCATCCCATGATCTCTGTCGCCATGCTCATTCTCGGCCATTTTCTTTGCCCTTAGGCATCAGAGTCCCCTCCTTTGAACCCCAGGCTCTTTGATTTCAACTGCTCCTTCTACAGCTATCTCTACCATCTCCAGGATGCTGCTTTCTTGACGATTTTCACAGCTTGCTTTCAGATTTCCATTCCCACCTATTAGCATCTCCATTCTCAAGTCAGTCCATTAATATCTCATTTTACTACATTTAATGAATTGTAGGATGGTAGAAAGAATATGAATTTTTGAGTTAGAATGAGTTAGGTTCCAACCAACTGTGTGACTTCAGCAAGTCACTTAACCTCTCAAAAATCCGAAATTTCTAATCTATAAAGTTTAGAGTAATAATAATAGCCAATTTATGGCACATTACATGTATAGCTGGTATATGTGGTTATCATTCAAATTTTTAACTATTGAGAATGAGTGTGAGAGAGGTTAGAAGTAATGTGTCTAAAGTGATTATTAAAATGCTTTATAAATAGTGAGAAATCAAAGGAAAATGACAGCCATTATTCTTGACGACTCGACCTTACAATTCTGGTATTGAGATCCTACCGCCTCGATAACCATGACTTGAATTTCCTTTCCACCTCTTTCATCAGCACAATGGCTTTTCCTCTCGGAGATGGTGATCAACCTTGGCCGCACATGGGAAGTCTTAGGGGTCTTTTCAAAAGTACTGTTGCTGGGATTTTGTCTCCAGAGATTTTAATTGGTCTGAAGTGTAGCGTGTGCATTGGGATTCTTTAAAGCTGTAAGCTGTTAAACTCTATAAATCCCCTTGATTCAGTTCTGCAGCTCTTCTACCCTCCCCACATTCTCATCCCTGCTAACACCTATCTGTCATTAATGCTCCTGTGTTCTTGCAGTCTGCTGCTTGCTTCAGAGAGCATCTTATCCACCCAAGATCCCCAAGTTAACTATGCATACCAAACTTTCACCATCAATTATAATAAAATGACTAATGTGCGCTTGCCACTTTCATGGTTTATAAGGTACTTTTTCGAAAGTCACTGATTTATGAAGTCCTTCAGAGGTTTCTGTATCTTCTTGAAATTCCCATACTCAGCACTCAATTCTGAAGTAGGTGCCAGCTCAACACCTTTTCTCATCCTCTGCTATCAAGAATGGGGTTTAAGTCATAGGACTCTTCTGGGAGAACAAAGTCTCTGAATTGAGTGACTTTTAGCACTCCGTCTCACAGTTCCATCATTTAGAACCTACTCATTAGTCCAGGGGGCAATGTGGGAGCCAGTGGGACAGATCTTGCTGATGACTTAGGGCAGCGTAGTGGTTTATTTCATTGTATATTATTGAAATTTGAGTGTACTTCAATGCACCAAGCACTTTCTAGGTTAAGGTAGGCCTCACCTTTTCCTACTGTATTTCTACAAGGCCACACACGTTTACCTACCTGAGGACCTTGAAATCACTTCACCTGGGTGTTTCTGCTTCATCCTTTGACTCCGGTCTTGGCATAAGCAGATACTCTTTCTCCTGTCCAAGGCTATTTAGTATAGCTGTGTCAGGGAATTGTGCAAGCCTTTTTATTGCTCAGCCTGCTCTTCAGATCCAGTCTAATTGCCTGTGTTCATAATTTTGGTTTGCAGCTGCCCTGAAACTGGCTGTGGAATGGGATATGGTCTTCCCAGCCCCTACTTCCTTTCCAGGCCCTCACTGCAAGCTCGAGCCTCGTGCTGCAAACCTGGGGAAGACAAAGGGGTTGTCAGAAGGATCAAGTCAAATTATATTTTTAATCACATAGTATTTAAAAAATATTTATTTTATAAAATCTGATTTTTGAGGTATAATTTACATACAGTGAAATCCACAGATCCTAAGCATATTTTGATCACCTTTGAAAGCTACATAAACTTGAATAACCACCATTCCTATTAAAATACAGAATATTTTCATCACCTCAAAAAGTTCCCTTGTGCCCCCTGCAAGTCACCCCACCCCCAGGAGCAACCACTTTTCTAATTTTCAGTTAGCTATATTATTATTAATTGTTTTTTATTAAGTTTAGTAGGGATTAGTAAATGGTAATTTCCTTCTTTCCTCGATATTTGGCATTCTAAGTTACTCTGTATGCCCTCTTTCTAGTTAACAATTTTTAGAAGTGAGAATATGGATTCACTTGAGAGTTTAAATAAATAATCTATGAAGAAAATGAATATATCTCAAGCTGAGAATGAATTTTTAACTCAAAGGCCAGTTCCATATTGAAATTTAAATTAAACACTCTGCTTTCTGAGAAAGATCCATATGTCTCCAATAATGCTATTGCCTTCAAGTTAAAGTCACCCCAAATGCAGTTTTCAAGATGACAGACCAAGATGACCTTTATTTCTTAGATTTTTCTGGGAGATGCTTCTAGCCCAAGTATATGCTAGAAAGATGAATTGAGAAGATAGTACTTGACACCTTTAAACTTTAAACCTTGACTGAGATCAATGATAATTAGAATTTTATTGCACATTCTCTGTGTCGTATGCTACGTTAAAGACATTAACTCCTAGGCTCATAATCACTTGCTTACTTAACAAAGTGATTTTTATTTCTTCACTTTTCCTTTTATAATAAATTATTTCTCTTCATCTCTCCTTCAATTTACCTCCTCCATATCCCACTCCCCTTTTAAGTTCCATGTCTCCCTGTCGGTAACAGTGATTGTGGACGACTATTTTAAAAGAAGATCCAGTATTTGGAGAATCTCACTTGTCTTGCTCTCCATGCAGTTTGGCTGTATAGCTTTTTTGAGCCACACCTACTCTTTTAGAACTTTACAGAAAATCAGTAGATGGTAGTAATTTTAGTATGCCTGAAAAAAAAATTAAGAACCTGTGGACTGCATCTGCCAGTCAATGTGGGTGAAGAATAACTAGAAAGGGGGCCGGCCCCATGGCTTAGCGGTTAAGTGCGCATGCTCCGGTACTGGCGGCCTTGGTTCGGATCCCAGGCACGCACCAATGTACCCCTTGTCCTGCCATGCTGAGGTGGCGTCCCACATACAGCAACTAGCAGGATGTGCAACTATGACATACAACTATCTATTGGGGTTTTGGGGAGAAAAAGGAAAAAAAAAAGGAGGAGGATTGGCAATAGATGTTAGCTCAGGGCCAGTCTTCCTCAGCAAAAAGAGGAGGATTGGCATGGATATTAGCTCAGGGCTGATCTTCCTCACACACACACAAAAAAGAATAACTAGCAAGAGTTTCAGTCCTGACTCTGCCATTTATGGGCTGTATGATCTTGGACACAGCACCTTTGTTTCCAAAATTGGGTGATGATAATACCTGCCATATCTACTTGTAAGTGTTATGAATGTGACAATTAAAATTAAATCATATGTGAGAAAGCACTCTGTAAATTTTAAAGTGTGATAAAATGCAAGATAATGTAATTATGAACACTGTATTTTTTTCTAACCAATACTGATGCAGATATTTTAATTATAAAGAAAATAGACAACAAAACATCAGAATCATCTTTCCCTGGCATTCTTTTGCATTGACATCAAGAGGAGAATGAAAGCAGTTGAAGATGACCTCACTCCTTTGATCTATCAAATGCTTATGTTTTTTTTTAAAAGTACTGTTTCTATGCTTGCACTGTAATTCTTCCTTCATTATAACTCTTATTACAATGTAAGTTAACTTTAGATGACTATCTCCCTCTACTAGATAAGGAGATCCCTGAGATTAGAGTACCTTGCCCAAAATAAGCAAACAGCAAATAGATGGATGGATGGGTGGATGGTGGGGGTGGATGAATGGTACCACAGATTTTTAAGAATGCATGTGTGAACTCTGAGTTATGTTCACAAAGTGTTGCGTACTGTAAGGTGAAGTCTACCTAACCAGAAAGAAAGCAATCTCTTTCTTTGCTTTTTACACAGAAATTCTAGATCATGGTTCAGTCATTTCTTTGCTTTTTCCATTGAGTCCCTTCCAGTCCATGCTGAGTCCATGTAGAAAGAATGTCTTCTCTGGTCTCTCCTTTCTTCTCCTTCCACCGTGATAACCTTGCTCTTTGCCTCTCTCTCTCTCCTGCCCCATCCTTCTCTGGGTCCTGGAGGAGTAACATCTGGTCTTTATTGTCTTTCCTGGAGAAGACTTATTTAGGTCTCTTCAATATTTTTAAATAAGCATGTACAAATCAAAAGGGACAGCAAATATTTGGTTCACTAGTATTGATTGACTTTCTTTTGTAGCATCACTTTGATGGGTCATGCTAACAAAAGTCTCTCCTTATTTATCCCAATGAAAGAAATCACTCCCCTCCAGGAGTGCATGCTGATATGGAGAAGAGGGTGAGGGAAAAATAAAATTCCAATTGTATGAATTTAATATGAATTTAATTAATTTTAATAATATAATAATATGATGGAAATGCATCAATCCAAAAGAAAAAAATGATGAAAGAATATGATGTGGTTGGGTAAAGAATTATAATAATATTATTATTATTTATAGCCACAGTCTTCCTGGAGTTTTGGAAAAGGAGAAGAAGTACACTGACCTATACTTGGGACCTTATTGAATGGGAAGAAGAGGAGGTAAGATGTTAGGAAACCAGGAGATGAGGAAGCTGGGATAGCACATGATACAGAAAATTATTCACTGCCCTTCAGATCCAAGCTGGAAGCAGCTAAACACCGTTAGGTTTTCCTTGATGTTTTTTACTAAAAAGATTTCTTACATTATGAAGATAATAGAGATAAGTTGTGAAGTATGTAAGTTTTTCAAAGCACTTCTATAATATTTCTTTAAATTATGTTAGTGGAAAGTTGGTCTAATTAAAATATGGTTTAGGGTTTATTTGGAAAATAATTTGCATCTTATTTTTAGAAAGTTGCTTCTTTGCCAAAGCTTAATATAAAAGTAGGCCAAATTGGAGGAATTGTTTTTTAAGTGTATGACTTTGATATTTAGGTGACATTAGTTTTTCTCCTAGGAGACACTTCGTCCCCAGTTTGAAGCAAAGTATTACAAGATGGAGAGAGTGAACCCCATCAGTGGGAAACCTGAGCCACATCAGCCTTCCTCAGACAAAGTCACACGCCTTCTTGTTTCTATCTCAGGAATATTCTTCATGGTAAAGTATAACCCTCAATATCAGAATGTTACAGAATTCCAGGTTTAGAAGGAAGTTCTAGGATACCAACTCATTTTGTGACCCTAAAGATGCAAGAAATCATAACCTGTTCAATACCTTGGTAATACATACTATTAAATGAAATGAAAATCACAGCAGGGCATGGAGTAATTACAAAGGGAGTTTGTGCATATCCTTAAAGAGACACTCTTTGGGAGAAACAAAGATCATCTAAAATAAAATGGTAATTATATGGGTTGCCCTGATGAATTCAACATCCTATTTTAAAACCAAGCATTCCATTCATTCCATGTGAAAGTGGAAATTTGAGCAGAATTTGCATTTTAGGTTATCAAACCAAAACAAGTTAAATCTTACACTATTTATTTTGACTCTAATCTTACTTAGTTCCTTAAAGGAAAAACAAATTTATGTATCCTTTCCTGAAAAAATAAATCCTTTAGCTCTTGAGGGCAGTATATGGGATCTTTAGTCTTGCTTTTGTTTTGTTAATGATACAAAATCTGGCTTCTCCTCTGGTCTCCCACACTGTAGATTTCTTTGGTCATCACTGCAGTGTTTGCAGTCGTGGTGTATCGCCTGGTTGTCATGGAACAGTTTGCATCATTCAAGTGGAATTTCATCAAACAACACTGGCAGTTTGCAACATCTGCTGCTGCTGTCTGTATCAATTTTGTAATCATTATGGCGCTGAATCTTGTAAGAGTTTATCATTTTTCCATACGTGTAAAAGGGGTGGGTAAGGGACAGGTCTATGTTTTCTTTATACTTGGATGGTATTTATAGGAAGCCAATATCAGACCAAGCCACATTTCTAGCAAAAGTAACTCAGTTTAGCAGAAAATGTTTCATCTATGTGGTTTAGATGATTGTTTTTTTAAATTAAAATCTCTATATGTAGGTGTTGATTTATAATCAGAAAAAATAACTTTTACTTTTAAAATATTCTACCATGACATAAAATTTAGAACGAATTAGAAATGGAATGTACTTTATTTTGACTTTATATACGAGTCACCCATAAAACCACAGCCACCTAGTTAGCAACTTTGGGTCACTTTTTAAATTTTGTCTTTTACCAAGTAAAGGAAGGTTTATCAGTGGTTGAGCAACATCTCCCCCCAACACACACACACACTCTCACACTCTGTTCCTTCTGTTCTCATTTGTCCCCTCCCCCTCTCCTCTGCCCCTCTGAATATGGCCCAAGTTTGTATCATCAGGTCCTCAACTTGGTGTCCCGATAAAAAGCAGTGGACTTGGGACACAGGCAAGATTTGCTACTTGGCCTGTGTGATCCTGGCCACCTCACATAACTTCTTTGAACTTTACTTTCTTGATCTTTCAAATGAGGATAATAAATACATAGGGGTGTTGAAAAATTAAATGAGATCTGCTTCTAGTGCATAGAAGGTGGTCAATAGATGTTAACCTCCTATTTGCTTCTCTTCAATATTTTAAAATTTTATTTCTTTCTATAAGTCTATCTATACTCCTATTCCCTGTCTTCAGAAATGTCAATATTTTCTTTATTTTTCCCTATTTATCTCATCTTTACATAATAGAGTTTATTTATTTCCCTTCAGTCCAAGATGTAGAAATGCTGATAATCTTTTCTTTGGTTTTTCTAAATTCTTCAGAATACATCGGCATTTATTTATATTTTTTCACTTGTTTTTACTTAAATGTTATCTATTACCCATTCATAAATTTTTAAATACTCAGAGTTGGCTGTGGAGGGAAAGAGAATAACATATAGTAGGTTGTTTTATTATGTCTTTTTATCAAATATATGCCTAAAATATAATAAAATTTGAAATGTTTAATTAGTTCATGCAGAAATCATACCACTATACTAATTTTCAGTAGTCTTACTCATTCTCTTTAATGTCTTAGTTTTATTTTCTCCTTTTTAAAGTCGATTATTTTTATCTTTCTAGCTTTGAATTATAAAATCAATACATTGTTATTTTAAAAAGTATTGACAGTATAAAAACATTAATAGTATTAAGTAAAAGTCACTTTTCTCAACCCCAAATGCCACTCACCTGCCTTCCTGTTATAAACTAATTGTACCCATTAGAGGTAATGAATGTTAATGGTGTCATGTTTATTTACTCCCCCCGCATCAATTATTATTGCCTTCAAAAGAGTACCCTGTGTCCCTGTGTTTATTTCGTGATTTGTTCCAAAGACCTACTGATCTTCAAAAACATCTTGAGTGAGTTAATGAACCGGCCTAATATTTTTGAAGATGGAAAATGTTTCACAGACAAGGAAAATGAAGAAGCCAAATGCAGTTAATGAATTTTTGCTTGGGAAGGCAAGCATGACAGCCCTGGGAACAGAACCTCCAGGTCCAGGGTTCAATCCTTAGTTCCTACCCAGTGGAATAACTATCTTTTCAGTTAAGCTGAAGACTTTGTCATGATCAGAACCTGCGTTTGAATAAAATAAGGGCTTTTACCCTCAAATATTTTCCTTACAAAAGGATTCTTTCTGTTATCATTGATATTGCAAAAATTGAAGTTTCCATTGGTGTATCAGACGTCAGTTTTATATTATTCCAGTTACTTCCTAATCACCAATCCCTTAAACTCTGACTCTGTTCTACCTCCAGTCCCTATCCTGAGTCACCCTTCCCTAGAATCACAATTGACCTTCTATACTGAATCTTATGAGAGAGAATACTATAGGTGTGAATTCTCTCTCATAAGATTCAGATACAACTTGTTCTCACTAAGTTTGTATGTTTGATGAGGCTTAATATAGTCTTTGTTCCAAAATACTGCATTTTACAGGTAAAAGATGGACTGGATGGAGTCAATCTCTGATTGTAGAAATAAGACCTCTGTAGGCAGGTGAGGATAGTATTATTTTCATCATAAAAACAATCTTGAGATCCTCAAAATCCCACTAGCTCTACTTAACTAAATATAAGAACCCACGTTAACTGCCTAGTGCTGTAAAACAACCATCCATAGTTCCTGGGAGAAGATAAGACTGACTTTTTTTTCTAAATGTTTATTTCTACTTGGGCATTTTGGCATAGAGATTCAGGGATTGTTGGAAGTGGAATATACCATAAAACTTCTCTTTTGTCCTTGCAGCTAACTCAGGAGAAGATTTTAAAATGGATTTAGCATAAAGGAAGTGAGCTACGTAGCCACTCAACAAATGTGAAAAGAATGTTACATTCCTCAGATTCAATCAGAGTAAATCAATAATGCCCTTCTGAATTTATGCATTCCCTTCCTACCCAGGATGTTAAGGCACTTAGATTATTAAACAGCCCTGCTGGTCCATGTGAACACACAGGATTGATTTAAGGGGTTAATCAAATAAGGATGGATTAAAATCATTAATACCAAAATGCCAGGCTCTTCTGAAAAATTATACCACCAAAAAGATTCACTTTGGAAACCAAATGCTGCCTCTTATTATTTTTGGACCAACACTAAATACGCAGCTAATAAAAATGTGCTTTTTTTTCTTAATAGCTTGACTTTAGGATCCCTGTGCTACCATTTCCCCCAAATGAGGAACTTGGCCTCAGTCAAAATATTCTATTAATCTCATATGCTTTTCAGCTATCCTATGCATGAAATTATGAAATGTAGGCATGGCAAAATAGTTTAAATGAGTAAAACAATTTTTTTAACCAGGAACTTTTTTTTTTTTTTTGTGAGGAGGATCAGCCCTGAGCTAACATCCGCTGCCAATCCTCCTTTTTTTTTTTTTTTGCTGAGGAAGATTGGCCCTGAGCTAACATCCATGCCCATCTTCCTCTACTTTATATTGGATGCCATCACAGCATGACTTGACAAGCAATGTGTTGGTGTGTGCCCGGCATCCAAACCTGTGAACCCTGGGCTGAGGAAGCGGAGTGCGCATACTTAACTGCTTGTGCCATTGGGCTGGCCCCAACCAGGAACTTTTAATGTTTAATGTACACAACCAGAAACCTGAAGTCATCCCCCATGCATTTCTTCTGTCTCCTTCTTCAGATCAGTGACTGTTGTGAATTGTGCTTCTGTAACATCCCTCTTATCCCTTCCCTGCTCTCCACCCTTGCTTCTGCTTCCTTAGTTCAGCTACTTGTCATTTCTAGCTTGAACTATTGCAGCAGCCTTCTCACTGGTTAGTCTTCCTGTCTCTTTTTCAACTCTTCCCATCATCCTTGCATACCAATGTTGGAAGAATCTTTGTAAATTGCAAATTTGATCATTTTATTTTGTACTTAAAACTGCTTAATGGGTTCCTGTTGCCTCTGATATAAATATTAAACTCATTAGATGGCCTGAGAGGCCCTCCATTATTTAAAGCCAGTTTTCCTTTCTCTTCTTGCCTAAGGTTGTGTCTCACTCCCTTTTATTCGCGTTCTGCACTCCAGCCTAAGAACCACTTGTGCTTGCTCCCAGGCATTCTGCTGTTTCGCATCCCTGTCTCTTGGTTCACAGTGCTTCCTCTAGCTGCCTCTTTTTCTTTTGTCTCCTTGGAGAATATCTCTTCATCTTTGAAAATTCCAGTTAAGGCTCACTGTCTCCGTAAAGTTTGTTCTCAATTCCATATGTAGAATTGAATAATCTCCTCTTTGTGTTTATTCCTCTCACAAGGTGCTTGGACGCGCCTCTTCTCTGTCCTTATCAGATTCTCCTGGTAGAATTAAACAATCCCTCTTGCGAATACTCTTCCGTTACGGCTTGGGACTTGCCTCTTCTCTCACTATGAGGGCAGAACCTCCTTATGAGCAGAGGCTGTGGCTTCCTCATTTTTGTATCTCCAGGTCTTTGCCTAATCCCTAAAAGACATTTAGAATATATTCTTTGAATAAATGTTAAATATTTTATTTTTCAAATATCCTAGCATCCTAGCATCTTATGTGTGCTCAAAAATATTTTTGTTATTAGAATTATGTCTTTAGTGTCTCTCAAGTTTGCAGCACTTGTTATTTTAATTCAAACTGATAATCAAAGAATATACATTCTCTAAGCTTTCAAAACAGGTGACTCGTGGCGTCCCTAAATAAATATTCAATCTAAGAGAAAAATATGGGCCAGGATAATCAAAATTGGATTAGAAGTCCATTTTACAAATCATGCAAGTAACTTAAAAGAGTGTTTTTTGTTCTTACTATGCCTCAGATCACCTGGAGCACTTGATAAACTATGCACCCTGAGTCCCATTCAGAATCTTCTCTGTGGGGCTAGGAAATCTGTGTTCAAAACAAAACATTCAAAAATACTCTCCAAGTTATTCGGATCCAGTCAGTCCTTAAAATAGCATTAGGAAATCACTGATTTAAAATGGGATCCAGGGTAATTTTGATACACAGCCCAGATCAGAAACCACATCTTCCAAAGATAAATTGCAAATAATTTAGCGATAATTAAGACTTCAATTTCTTATTTTTAACATCCATTTACCAGACATAAAGCTAAAAAACTAAGAAGCCAGAATTTGAAACCAAGAGTTACTCTTTACCAATGGCTCCCTTTTCCTTCTTTATTTTACTGCCCCTCAAAATGCTATGCTCTTTAAAGGTGCCATTACTAGCACGGTTACTATCATATCAGGAGATATTTCTAAAAGTATTTTATTGAAAATAAAAAAGGTACAATTATTTCAAAAATGCTTATTCTTGTCACTTGACAATCAAACTTTAATTAACTTGAGAATAGCTTAGAATAGCATGACAACTGCCTGGGCTCACGATTAATGTGTAATTTTAAAGAAAAAGTAGAACATCACAGCAGAAGCACTCTTATAGTTTGAAATATCTAGGATTAGGCCCATTAAACCATTTCAGCATTGTGAATAAAAGAATGAACTCCTGTTGCTTTCCCTCCTCTCGTTTTAAAATTCTTGTACCACGCACAGAGTACACTATAACCAAAAAAAAAAAAAAGCCCTAAATACATTTGGCCAACATAAATACTCCATGCTGGTTCTGCACTCTGCCACAGTGATCCACTTCCATCTCTAGTGTCCAGAGCGTACATTCCTATGTTTCTTTCATGGGCATGATCACTGGAGACCTCAAAATGTACCTAAATTTTCTTAACACCCGGTTAGCACAGGTTACCAATTCTAACGTAAATAAACTATTATGGAATAGGGTGGACTAAAGGGTTGGACCACACATCTGTTCTGTAAAATGGGGATCATAATGCCTATTCGATAAAGTTGTTGTAAAACTAACTTAAATAATAATATATGTAAAGCACGGCTTGGCACCAGCCAAATACTCTAAGGGACAGTTATTTAAATAAAACTTCCTTTCACTCTCCTGAGGGCGCTCAATTCAGTGCTCGAGGCACAGTACTGCTTGAGTACTGTTTGTTGGTTGATAAGTCTATCTTGGTGACCCTTCTTTGATCATCTTGCTTAATAAATGGGACAGGGAAAAGAACATGTTACAGTCAGGACAACTTTGGAGCTCATAAATTCAAGTTAATGTTGTCCTAAAATTTAAAAATTATAACTTGTATAAATAGCTTTAAAAAAGTCTATTAGAGGTAGAATGAGACTATTTTACTCAATGTAATCTTTCTGTCTCAAGGTAACACTAGATTTTAGGAAGAGGTAGATTTGAATCATGGCTAAGATGAATAATCACAGCAGTTCCACCGAAAGAACTGCAGGGAAGAGGAACAACTTTTAAAGTGTGCAGATACCTACCTTTTAATTTTGTATACCAACAGGCAGAATTATTGGAATTTATAATCTAAAGAATAATTTGTTGAATTATGGAGTTATATAGTTATATTTATATGCACACACATATACCCACAAACACATATCACCCTTCTGTCTGTAGCAAATATACGTTCCCAACTATATTTACTTGAAATATTGTGGACTATGTTTTCTTTCCTTGAGTGTGTATGAATGGTGGACAGAGTATGTTGGGTCAGGGAGAAGGTGGCAGAAGACGAAAAATGTTACAAAAATCTGTTGTGTGTGTGACTTACTTATAGGTTCAACAGATTTGACTTTGTCTTGTTTTAAATAACCACAAAATGCATTTTATTCTTTAGGAACTCAAATTTGCACACTGTCTCTGTCATAGTTTGGAAATTTTTTTGTCAATAGTAAAGAATTCAAACTTCCACTTAGCCTTCCAGTGTAGTAAAAAGCACACACAATTTGGTGAACAAATCCCAGGTCAGCCATTAACTAGTTGAATGACTTTTGGGTTTTTTTAAGTCTCATTTCCTTGATTTATAAAGTGGAAATAAAGGTAGCTACCAGAAAATACTTATTACAATCAAGTGTGTCTTTATATGTACACATATTTACAACATGTGTGCGTGTGTGTATATGAAAAGCACTGCCTACTAAGTTTTGAAACATGCCTCTACTTAATTTAAAATGTACCCATTTTCTTCACTATACTTTAGATGTTTCTTTGAATAGTGTGAATACTAACCTTTTCTAAAAGAAAAGAATAACATTTGCTATTTGTTCTCTCTTGTTACAGGCTTATGAAAAAATTGCTTACCTTCTCACTAATTTAGGTAAGTCCATTTTTCTTACTTCACTCCTTAGTAAGAAAATAGTACATGGGCATATCAGTCTGTAGTTGGGTTACGAACTTTAGCATTTTTAATATCAACCTCAGTTAAATAATTGTCGATAAAAATGAAAGAGGTGGCATAGGAAGTGGCAATACATTGGGTAATAGAGAGGGCAGGCTAAGTAGCTACAAAATCTCCTTACTAGAAATTAGCAAACCTGGTTCTTCTCACTTGGGAGAATCCCTACCATTTCAGTTCTTTGGGTTCCCCTCCCAATATTTTTATCAAAGTATTATACTACATGTACACAATTTAAAAGGCAAAATAGTATTAAGAGATTTATAGTGTAAACTAGTCTTTTGCCACATTACCCATTCTTATTTTCTATATCCCAGAGGGACTACTTTTTCTTTTTTTTTTTTTTTGGTGAGGAAGGTTAGTCCTGAGCTAACATCTGTTACCAATCTTCCTCTTTTTGCTTGAGGAAGATTAGCCCTGAGCTCACATCTGTGCCAGTCTTCCTCTATTTTGTATGTGGGACACCACCACAGCATGGCTTGTTGAGCCGTGTGTAGGTCCACACCTGAGATCTGAACCCATGAACCGCAGGCCACAGAAGTGGAAGATGTGAACTTAACCACTACACCACTGGGCCAGCCCCCCAGAGGGCCTACTTTTTAACAATTTTATCAATTTCTGCTGTTATTTCCTACCCTATTTCTAAATAACATGCTTCTACTGCCATTCCTGGGCTTTCTTCAGGAAGCTATTGCCTTCCCACTGTAAAAGACTAGAACTCAGATCTGACTGTTCCCTGCAGAGTCCTGTCCCGCATACCTCCCCATCCATCCCGTTTACACAAACTGTTACTTCTCCTCCTTCAGAGTAGTTGTATCAGCATTTTTAGCCAAATTAATAGTGGCCACATCATTGTGTCTGTGTAACTATTTTCATATCTAAGGCATGGTGTGTGCTACGATTGTTTCCTTTCTTAGACAGCCTTTATATTTTCATGAAGCTAATATTAGCACATTTTGCATAATTTTCTACATACTGTCCTTAATGTATCCCAACCTTTCTGCCTCAACTCTAAATTCTCTCTGAATGCATTAAAAAACATCAAGTATTCTGCTGATTCCGTTTTCTCCTTAGAATCGCCCTCCCTGATCCGCTGTCTCCTCCAGCGTGTGCTCAGTGGCATCCACACTTGCTGTCATCAGCACCTCCCTCCAGAACTCCTTTCACCCTTTTTTCCCTCAGCTGGACTATTTTTTGGATCCTATGTCTTCCTCTGTCTTGGCTTAATTGGCTTAATTCCTTATTTTGCTACCTGGAAATTAAATTTCTTGAGACCTTGTATGTCAGAAAATGCCTTTTTTCTATCTTGAAACTTGATTTTGTTCCCCCAGTTTGGAGGACATAATTTTTATTACAGAGCTGTTTGAGCAGCGATCTTTCATTGTCTGAAAACTCACCAGATCTCAGGCGCTGTGCTATGACTTCTCATTCATTATTTTGTTTTATTGTCATCACGATTCTATGACAGTAGGATCCCTATTTTATGGATAAGAAAACCAAGATAATTAAGTTAAATAAGTAGAATTTAAATTCAGATGTGACAGACTCCACTTAACTATGATGGAGTAACTGTCTGACTCCACTATGACATGTCACTTCCTCTATGACGTACTTACAAGTACACGTAATAACAGAAGGGATCTTGTGTTGAGGGAAGAACTAGGCCCTCATCCATTTTCTGGACCTGAGTGACCATATCACTTGGGGATTATGTGACTATGAGCAGGTCTTCTCCTCTCTCTATTCTTTCTTCTCCTGCTCCTTTTTTTTGAGGCTCAGTTTCCCCACTGGTAAAATGAGAATGATAATAATTCCTATTTCACCATTGCTGTGAGTTGGCTGCCCGACACATGGCAAGTGCTCAATAAATGGGAATGGTCTGTTTCATTGTTCTTTAAAGTCTCTGAGCTACAGTGTCTTCAGCTAGTAATGAAACACTTGAACTAGATTCTCTCAAAGCTTTCTTCTAGCTCTGATTCCTTATATTCATTTGCTTTTAAAGTACTTTATACCCAGGATGGAAGCAAATCTAAGGAAATGGTTTGGGGGACCATAATTAATAGTAAGAAATAGAACAGCTGTTTGTGCCAAGTACCAGGAACACCAAAGTTTACACTTGATGTTTGATTTTTCCATCTATAACTCATGACATAGTGCCTGTGGATTCATAACTATTAATTAATAATGAATGGACTATATTAATTTAAATTAATGAAAATATTGATATTTTGTTTAAAATAATATAATATCATTGTACATATGTGTGTATATATATAAATATATGTACAATATAAATATGGCATTATATTCTATGTAATTTTTGGCTGTGCAAATTTGTGCTTCAAATTAGAAATTAGGCTTTACTTCCGAGAAGATGTCGCAAATTGTTTTATTTAAAGGATTTTTTTAACTTTGTGTTTCTTGATTTATTTTTCATCCAAATATTTTATGTTCAAAAAACACACAAAAAATCAAAGTTTCAATCCTATCACATTTGTTTTTTTATATAAGAAGAAATATGTAATATTTGATCTAAAGAGATTTTTTTTCAGTTTGGTTTATGGTTGTTGAAAATTAGATCAGGATGGTTGTTAGTTGTTAAAAATAATGAATTATCGGGGCCAGCCACGTGGCATAGCAATTGAGTGTGCTCGCTCCACTGCTGGCGGCCCGGGTTTGGATCTTGGGCGCTCACCGACGCACCGCTTGTCAGGCCATACTGTGGCGGTATCCCACATAAAGTGGAGGAAGATGGGCATGGATATTAGCTCAGGGCCTGTCTACCTCAGCAAAAAGAGAAGGATTGGCATGGATGTTGGCTCAGGGCTGATCTTCCTCACAAAAAAAAATAAATAAATAATGAATCATCTAGAATAATGAACTGTGATTTATCTATAATATGAATTATCTATAAAAATGAACCTAGCTTTCAAGAAACAAATTAAGCCAACAGATGAAAAGAGTTCTGATGTTGTCAAACAGAGGTCAATTCAGGAATAAAAGCATGTATATCAAGAAAATAGTGACAATAAAATCAGATGTCACCATATTAATATTAGGAAAACTAGAATTTAATATATATTTGAGGAGGAAAGAGTGATACTTCATACTGATAAACAATCTACCAGGTCAATATAATAATTATGATTTCTATACATCTTTTCACAAACCTTCAAAATATAGGAAGCAAAAAATGATAGAAATACAAAAATTAGTTGACAAATCCACACTCAAAATATAAGGCAGGATATGCAGTATTTAAATACCATAACTAACAAGCTTCTTTTAAAATATATATAAACTATATATTCAACAGAAAAATAAATATTATTTTCAAACACTTGATACATAGACAAAACTTATTCATGTGATTTGGCCACAAATGAAATTGCAGCTTTTTTGCCCCAAAGCAGAAATCACACAAGACACATTTGTGGATCATGATACAATAAACTTAGAAGTGGAGAACCAAAAACAGTCTAAACACTAGGGAATTTTTAAAAATCCACATTCTCATTTGTAAATAAGCTTTGTGCTAAGTTTACAAACTGTTTAGAAGGAAACAACAGTGAAAACACGTCCTATGAAAACCTGCAGGGAAATATCACTCCCCTGACTGCTCTCACTGGGGCGCACCAACCAATCACTGTCGTGACTCCTCCCGTTTCTGGCATCGCCAGAAGCTTTGGGGTTGGAATTCCTCAGGACCTATTCCCTCTTTATTCTAATGCATACATTTTGGCCCATCTTTTCCTTAAATCAGATCCCATCTATTTTCTGCCTTTCTTGAATTCTTCGATTATATGATAATACATGTGAGAGATGCATGTATATTTTGCATCATTTATTTGAATATTGGGTGGGAGCAGAGGCTGCAGCACATGCTGCGATCCTCATCCAATCTCTCTCATCATTTTCCTTGTTTTGTTTAAGAGTCATAGAGCCATAAGATGTGAGAGTTGACAGAGTTCTTGAAATCACCTTGTCTAAATTTCTGATTTGATAGGTGATAAAACTGATTGCAAAAAAATGTGAAGAGACTTTCCTGAGATTACCAACACATTAGGTATAAGATTGAGATAAGAACTCAGCTTTTCTGATTAATGTAGCCCTCTTTCCTCTTTACCATTATACTTCAGTCTGTACACAGAATATTCATTCTTCAAAGAACTCTGTGGACAATTTGGGTTCCTATATTGAGCATAGCCAGTTTGGGTGAAGGACTGATCCAATATTTATGGTTACCTCTAAATGATGATAGCAGAGAGAATCCTGAAAATCTTTATATATTAATGACAGTCATCATATTTTTGTAGCTATGGGAAAGTCTAAAGATTATCTCCTTGGATCCTTTCATCAGCTCTGTACGGCAGGATGTTATCAGTCATGTTTTACAGAGACAGACACTAGAACTCAGAGACACTGAGTGCCTCACAGATCTAGTAACTGATTGAACCAGAAGTTGAATATGGGCCTTCTGATTTTGTATCCATATTTCTTGTCATTCACCTCATCTATGTGAATACACCCTATGTTTCTTTTAGAATATCCTCGAACGGAATCTGAATGGGAAAACAGCTTTGCTCTGAAGATGTTCCTCTTCCAGTTTGTCAATTTAAACAGTTCTATCTTCTATATCGCTTTCTTTCTGGGGAGGTAAGTCAACTTTATACACGTTATCTTTGCAGAGTGAAAAAGACTGTCAGCAGTTCCATTGCCAATTTGTAAATAGAGGTGGCGAGTTCTTGTCCCCTGCCTTGGAAAACTGTGCTAATTAGCATCCGCATGCCTTTTCAGTCAAAAGACTTCTAAGTACAATACTTTGAACTGCCACTACCAATTAAAGTTGACATAAAAAAATAAAACCTATGTGTCATACTTGGGCTGGATTATGACTATCCAGTCACCAGTAATGGTTAAATAGAAAAATAATTTTTGTGTAACCCTAGGTTACAGTTCCTTAGTATGGAAACTTCTACTTATCATGTTAATGTTCTTTTTTTCCTATCTCTGCTGCAAAATATGAGAAAGAAGCATATTAAACTACTGGTTTGCCGTATGCTTAACACTCCAGCCATTGCCATGGAAACATACCAAAGCTAGAAACATTTTTAAACTAAAAAATTCAGCACATTATATTAATATTCATTAATTAGGTCAACAAGACATTAAAACTCCACAGATAAAAGTGGGAAATTTCATTCAGTTGGTTTCTCTGTGTTTTCTCAACCCATTGGTATTGAATCACACATCACTTTTTCCTTTTTAAGTCAGGTACTTTGATGTGTAAGCATGGCGTAAGTCAATCGTTTGGGACAGCTTGCACCAGTGAACAGTTATGTCTGCCCACACATGCACTTGTTGTGATGCATTAGTAGATATTCTTCAGTCCACCCCACGTAAATGCTAATGAATTAAAATGTCTTTTTACAGATTTGTAGGCCACCCAGGAAATTACAATAAACTTTTTAACCGGTGGAGACTGGAGGAAGTAAGTAACCTTGTAAGGGTGGGTGTGGGGATGGGCATGGATATGGTCCAGTGACTGTGTGACTGTGTGACGGAGGGGGTGGGAAGACAGAGAGAGAAGGTGTACAGGGAATTTCAGGCATGCTGAAGACACGTTTTTGGTAGAGGGGAGTTCCTCTGGGTTCAGAAATGAAGCAACTACATCTTTCAAAAAAAAGGAGGTGAACTTAAAGGTTAAACCCCAAAACCTTGACCTCCGCTCTCTTTAACTCTCTATCAAATCCATTTCTTCCATTCACAAGCCCAGAAATTTAGCTCCAGGAATTCTCCTCTTTTGGGGAATTATTATTATCTATTTCATGGTTTTCAAACTTTTAAATATGTTAGGCTTTCTTTTAAGCAGGGAAAATTTAGTCCAAAAGAAATATTACTTGAAAGACCAATCTATAAATGTATAGCTATATCTTCAAAATCTCATATTTCTTCATTAATTTATAAGATGTACATCACAGAAACAAAATGTCTAGGAGTAGTATTGCTACATCACAGGGTAAGCATTTGCATATTTTCAGTGAGACTGACAAATTGTCCTTCAAAACGCCAGCCCATAGGTATAGTGTATGAACCTGCTTCCTCAGACTCTTTCCAACAGAAACATTTTAATTTTTGTCAATAGAATAGTCAAAAGGATATCTTCTTTTTAAAAAAATTATTTTATTGAGGTCATATTGGCTTATAACATTGAGTAAATTTCAGGTGTACATTATTATATATCAGTTTCTGTGTAGACTGCATCGTGTTCACCACCAATAGTCTAGTTTTCATCTGTCACCATACATATGTGCCCCTTTACCCCTTTTGCCCTCCTCCCATCCTCTTCCCCTCTAGTAACCACCAATCTGTCTCCTTATCTATGTGTTTGTTTGTTTGTTTGTCTTCCATATATGAGTGAAATTCTACGGTGTTTGTCTTTCTCTGGCTGACTTATTTTGTTTACCATAACACTTTCAAGGTCCATCCATGTTGTCAAAAATGGCACAAATTTGTCTTTTTTATGGCTGAGTAGTATTCCATTGTATATATATACCACATCTTCTTTATCTGTTCATCCATTGATGGGCACTTGCGTTGCTTCCATGTCTTGACTCTTGTAAATAATGCTGCAATAAACATGAGTGCATATATCTTTTTAAATTATTGATTTCATATTCTTTGGATAAATCCCCAGTAATGGGATAGCTGGATCATATGACATTTCTATTTTTAATTTTTTGAGGAATCTCCATCCTGTTTTCCATAGTGGCTGCACCAGTTTGCATTCTCACCAGCAGTGTATGAGGGTTCTCTTTTCTCTACATCCTTTCCAACACTTGTTATTTCTTGTAAAGGATATCTTCTTTTGATATCAGTTCCTTTAATTATGAGTGAAATGGAGAATATTTTTCATATGTTTGTTGGACATTTTGTGTTTCTGTGTGTCTGTGTGTGTACTATTCCTATTCACTTTCATTAGACTGTTTTTCTCTGTCCTAAATTTATAAACCAATAAAGTTAGGCTCTAATCTTTCAATTTGCTGCAGATATGTTTCCTATTTTCTTGAATATCTTTTAATTTTGTTTTGATGCATTTTTTATAAAACTGTATAACTTTTTCTAATCAAAATATCACTGTTGTTAATGGCTTTGGGGATTTGTGTCATGCCAAAAAATGTGTTCTCCATTCTATAAGTATAAAAAACTCACACTTGTATTTTTCACTAATGTTATTTTTTTAAATATTGATTTCTTTGGCCCATTGGGAGGTTATTTTGTTGTAAAGAGTAATCAAGATTTTCACCCCAATTGGCAGCCACACATTTAATAAATAATGTTTTTGTTTCATTCAGCAAAATGAGATTCGAAGATTTATCATATTTTACATCTTGAAATCCTGTCTATTTCTCAACCCTGTTCAGTCTCATTGGTCAGATTGTTTATTTCTTCTCTAGTTCAAAGTTGTTTTAATTATTCTAATGTAAAATCCAATTTAATATATGATAGCATTAGTAGGAGGGCTTAATTTAGAGAGAGGCTAAGAAAAGATTCCCCAAGAAAACTGAGGATAGAGGTGTTGCCAGTCTCTACCTAAAAAATCCCCCCAAACTCAGGGGAGTCCTCATTGATGTTGTGTCCCCAGAGTCTTCTAGAAATTGATTGGGATACATGGACAAAGCTTCAACCTTCCTAAGAACGTATGCTTTATATCACAGAAAACTGGACTCAAGTGCTAACCTTGCTGCTTATTAGTTCTTTGCCCTTAATTTTTTTTTTTTTTTTTAAGATTTTATTTATTCATTTTTTCCCCCCAAAGCCCCAGCAGATAGTTGCATGTCATAGGTTCACATCCTTCTAGTTGCTGTATGTGGGACTCGGCCTCGCGCTGGACGGAGAAGTGGTGCCTCGGGGCGTGCCCGGGATCCGAACCCGGGCCACCAGCATCAGAGCGCGCGCACTTAACCGCTAAGCCACGGAGCCGGCCCTCTTTGCCCTTAATTTAACCTCTCTGAAAAACTGTCTCCTCATCTGTAAACTGGCAATAGAAATACTTGGGTTGCAAAGATGTTGATAGATAAGAGATAATTTGCATCACACAACCCCTGGGCTGTGGTAGGTACTCTATAAATTGTAGCTGGTATTTATCATTGCTCTGTCTCCAAGCTACCTGAGTATTATTCTATTGGCCAAAGACAGACTAAGGACTTTCATAATCTCTGGCCTCCGAGAAGTCCCCAAATCAAACTTGCAGTTTTCTTTCATAGCCCAAAAGTATGGCTATGTTTGCTAAAAGGCTTTTCATCTACCCAATTTGGGACCCAAGGCTTACTTTTTTCCAGAAGTGTTCAACTGGAGTTAGCAAGTGTAGGGTGGGGCATAGAGTGCTTACAGGCAGGTAAATCTACATATTGATGCCATTTTAGGGACTGCTGCCATGAACAATTTTGTTTAATTGGATATTCTTACTCCTAACTGTGAAATTATTGGAAGTGACGATTCCCCTTTGAAAGTCACAGGGAAATAATTATAATATTAATGTCAGGAAAAATGTTTCATAACCATCTTGGACATTTTCCACCATATATGTGACATAGGTAGTAACCATATTTTCCAACAAAGGGTTATTTATTTTGAAAAAAATCATTGAAATGAAAAATGTGGGTTTGTGAGAGATGCTAGAAATCCTAGAAATGTGGATATAAAAAGCGTGCATGATGGAAAAGACTTGACCCTCTGAATTCAATTTACAACAAGCATTTTTTGACACTTATTCTCTTCCAGGCCTCTGCTGGGTATATGGGGTGTACCAATGAAGAAGTCCCTTTCCTTTTTTTGATTGATGTTAGTAGTCTTGAAGAAAAGAACATAACCATGATATGTAACAAATATTTTGTCTTTGGAGTCTGACAGTCTACATTCTAATCCTGCCCGACTCACATGCATGATCTCAATATCTCTAAGTTTCAGTTTTTTCTTTTGTACATTGTGGTAAGACTAGCTAGCTCTGTAGTATTGGGGATAGGTGGATTAAATTGGATCATGTGTGTAAAATCCTTGGCACAAATAATGGTAACCATTATAAAGATAGAAAAAAGTGTCACAATTTTATTTAGATCATTTATGACTGACGATCCTGGACTTTCCTCATACTATGCTATACAATATCTCACATAAATATTTTATGTAAATCTATATACAAATGATAATAATAGCTAATATTTAATGAGTGCTTACTATATGTCAACACATTCCATCAATTGTTTCTAAGTGTTCTACATATGTTAATGCATTTAATCCTCACAAAAATTCTATTCTTACACTCATTTTACATATGAGGAAACAGAAACTTAGAGAAGTTATATAATTTGCCCACAATTATAGAAACATACCAATAAATTGATAAAGTCATCGATTTGATTCAGGCAGTTAGTTTCAGAGTCTGTGCTCTGAGCACTGTGCTTTCCAGCCACCATTGGGCTAGCACATGGGCACAATCGACAACATAATGGAAATTGATTTTGGTAGGAGATCCCTGAATGATCGCTGGCTCACATGTAAACTGGATTTAGAGGAAACATACAAAAGTGGATGAAGTGAAAGGAACACGGGTATTGGAGTCCGATAGTCCTATCTACCACTTAGGTTCATCATGTACAAAATGGAGATACCAACACCCGTCTCACTAAGTTCTCATGAGGAGCAAATGAGGAAAATATGTGAAGGCACCTAGCTTGGGTTGTCCATCGTCGTATGATTTTGAGTGTGTAATGGGAATGAAAGCCTGGGTCTCCTGCATGCTCATGCGTGCCCCATTACTCATTCTAAGTATGGACTCTTTTTATCAAATGAATTTTAGAGTGTTGAAGGACTGGATTTAGCTCACAGGAATCATTATGTGAGGGGGATAGACCCACAAAAACTAATGGATCCCTTTCTCTGCCCTATAAATCACAAAGTCGTCAAGGCTCAATTTCAACAGAATTATAAATGGCCTGTCATCCAGCCTCCTCACTTTGTCCTACCATTGTGGAGAGTGACCCAACCATATGGTTCTATGATAGTCTTCTTTTTCCCTTCCCACATCATGATATGCTTTGCTAAACCAGCCCCTCAAGGCAACAAATGCGTTTGGTAAATACCATTCATCCTAGCATTATGTGAAAGAGCAGTGGATTAGGGTGCAGGAGACCCAGGCTTTCATTCCCACTCCACCAGTCAACATTGCATGACTTTGGACAAGTTAATTTGCTTCTTTGAGTCTCTCTACAAAAATGAAGAGGTTCAGTGTGCAGTTGATCTATGATCTGCCTCTGTAGCTTAGTAATTATTCTGCCTCTGACATTCTACCAAACCCGTTTATCTTATATATGTGGCAGAGTTTAGGGGGTCCTAAATTCATCCTAGAAAGCAGGGGCATGTTTGGATGGGAGAATTGAGACTTCACACTATAAAAATTACCACTGCAAACCCTTTCTCTGGCTCAGATTAGGGAGTTTCAAGTTACTGAGCTGGAGCTGGAAAAGCAGGCTCTTTGTGTCCTAATTATTGTTCCCTTTGAAGTCCCACTGGTACCAATTTAATAGAAATAGAAACTGGATCAAAGTTACGGAGACTATCATCCTTACAAGCAGGACACGAACCCATTTCCAAAGAAACAGACCACGCTTTCTTACCCAAATGTCTCCTATAATGCGAAGTTTTCAAGCAAAACACATCGCTTGCAGTTTTCATTGTAATCACATTTTCGTTCGTGTAGGTTTCTAATACTAACTTTTATTAAACATCTAAAAAAGCAGAGGAGCAGAGAGAAGACAAAATTAGGATCATGCTGACATTTGTGGCATGCTTGTATCACATAGAAGTACATTATAATATATGTAGATACTCCCTCTCCAGGAGGTAGAGTTTAACTGTCCCCCATCTTGAGAGTAGACTAGACTTAGTGACTCTCTTCTAAAGAAAAAATAGGGAAAAGGAGATGAGTAACTTTATAATAGAAACACCTGGCAAACACTGCATCAACCCGGTGCCGAAGGTGAATATCCCCAGTGATGTCTTGTGGATATCATGTAGCCCCTGATGGGATGTGATACAAATGGCACTTCAGCTCTGTGATCTGCCTCTACCCCCAAATACATAGCCCCAGTCTGAACATGTGAAAACCCCAGACAAACCCAGACTGGGGGATTTTCCATAGGATACTTATCCACCAGTCCTCAAAACTGCCAGGGATATGAAAAACTGAGACACTGTCTAGACCAGAGGAGACTGAGGAGACATGACAGATAAATGCAATGTGGTGTCCTGGATGGGGTCCTGGAGCTGAAAGAGGATATTAATTGAAAAATTGGTGAAATCTAGATGAAATTTGGAGTTTAGTTAATAGCAATGTACTAATGTTAGTGTCTTAGTTTTGATAAGTATCCCTTGGTAATGTAAGGGACAATGGGGACAATTGGGTGAAAGGTATATGAACTCTCTCTGTACTATCTTTGCAAATTTTCTACAAACTTAAAATTATTCTGAGATAAAAATGTTATTTTAAAAGAATGTTATAAAAATTTTGCCATAGAATTAAATATTGTTCTATCTCCTGATTGCTAATGGATATATAGTATTCCAGAACATTCATTAAATGTGATCATGCCTAACGCAGAGCTTGGTAGATGGTAAGTACTCATTAAAAGTTAGATTTGTTGTTATTGCTGTTATAATTTTGATCAATATTCTAATATAATTACTGAAAACTTCCCTCTCAAGTGTCCTCATACTTCTTGCTTCTTCCTTGTTTTTATTTTCCTTATGCATTGAGATAATGTGACCTGGCTTTAGAATTTGCTGTACAGTTTGAAGGTGGGATGTTTAAGCCAGCTGAGAAGAGCAAGATCTTTATCGTTCTTGTTCTGTTTCAGTGTCACCCTAGTGGCTGTTTGATAGACCTCTGCCTCCAGATGGGAGTGATCATGTTTTTGAAGCAAATATGGAACAACTTCATGGAACTGGGATACCCGTGAGCGCTTATTTTTAAACTTGCATCATCTATAGTTACAAAGAAGAAAGATAGAGGTGGTGTGATAGTTCATAAGAATTTGTGCTTCGTAATCAGACAGCTGAGGGTTCAGGTCCTGCTCTGCTCTTCACTAAATGCGAGTCCGTGTGTAACCTTTCTGAGCCTCAGGTGTCACATCTCTAAGAGAGGATCAACAGCTGTACCTAGCTCAAGGACAGCTGAAGGATTAAAGAACATAACGCATGTAGAGTAACTGGTACTCTGTTCAACACAGTAAAGCACTTTTCCTATTCTCAAAATATTATTAGTAGCCCATGTTCTTGATAAAAATAACTCTCTGGTTTCTTTCGACTACCAAAAAAAACAGGTTATTGTTGTTGTTTAATTAAAAAGAGCATCCATTCACCACCACCCCCTGCAAAGAAAAGAATAAAACAAAGATAAAATCCTGGATGGGGAGGTTTTGTACTCTTTGTAATACACAAAAAAGAAAAAAAAAAAATCATTAGAATAGGATTATTGTGATAACATCAAAATAAGAACATTCTATTTTATCCCTTTAGATAAGTTTTAACTGTCTGTGAAATGCTGACATGGAAGGATACTGAATGCCTAGTTTTAAATCTATTAAAATATATTATCCTTTAGAATACAATGAAATACAGTGTTTTTAAAACAATGTGGTATGGAAGCTTTGAGGCCTAATCAAGTTTAAAAACATGACTATTTTGAGAAATTTCCCAACTATGAGGGAAGAACTGGTTAATTGATTGATGATATAAATAGCTTAGGCTTAGTCATCAAATTATACAATGCTTCTTTCTCCTTTTTGGCCCACAAATGGTATCAGGACATTTCTGAGCAGAGACGAGGTGATATTAACCCTGAAATCTGCCATGAAGTATTGTGTTAGATTACAGGCAGTCTTAGAGCATGGACTAAGAAATTATTGAGACCTGGTTCAAATTCCTTCTCTGCCCCTTGGTGAAGATGCTTGTAATTTACGTGACTTCTCTGAGACATTATTTTCTTTTTATTTGTAAAATAAGGGATTTATAAAGATTAAATGAGATGACTCAATGGTCTTTAAGCCTTCATCAATAAATGACAGAACCTTTTTGTGAAGAGATTTTATACAGATCCTCAGTATTCAAAACAGTAAAATCAATCTCTTCTAAATGAAGAGAGAACAAGAATGAAGGATTGGGGAGCCCAGTCCATTCTTCCTATCTCTTCCTATCCTTGGCTCACCTCTTTTATACATAGGGTTTGAGGAAATCATTGGAAAAATCCTGAGGAAATTAGGTATCAAGTGCCTAGCAAAGGATCTGACATGCTGTGAGTACTTCATAAACACCATCAAGGTCGTGTAGGAGTCACCATAGTATTGAGAATGATTCTTTTGTTGCATTATCCATGCACTGCTATACATACCATGCACTTTGGACAGCACACTTTCACCATGGCCTTGCCCAAGTGGTCAGCCTGGACTGCATATATCAAATCCCAAGGGTATCATGGCAAGGGACATCCTGCTGGTGTTTTTCCAACAGCTGGGCAAAGACCTTGTTGAAGAAAATCTGGCAGGAGTGGACCAGTCACTACAGCAATGATTTTCAGGCTTTTAAGCCACAATTCTCTTTCTTCCAGTAAAATCTTAAGCAGAACTGAAATAAACAAACAGTCCTGCCTCAATTCCGAACCCCCAGCCCCCTTTCATCTTCATGTGGAGCTTCAGAGACAAGCTCCAGGGGAGGCGCAGGGAAGCACAGCCTGATGCTTTGGTCTAGCTGTGGTGGTTCTTCCAACTCCTGCTGAAGCCCTAGGCCCACGACGTGTTAAAATGAGAGTTGGGTACTGTTCTCTGAGTCCTGTGAGATTCACTTTATCCTAGAGGTAATTTTCATCTAACTCTTAAAATAATTCATTACCCAGAAGTCCACAATATATGCATACTGGGATGTTTTTGAGACGTAATTTCCAGACTGCCCGTGGGCTAGGGAAAGAGTGTTGTTCTCTCCTTTCCATGTCTGAGAAATTGGACTCAGACACATATTCCTTGCCTGAAAATTACTGTTCACTGTAGTAGCAGAATGTAATTATTAACACTCAAACCCTTCATGTTTGTAAACTCAGAGAGGTGAAGTGACTTGCTAAAAGCAACTCATCTAATGCATTGCAGTGTAGGGACTGGAACCTACATCTTTTGAAACCCTATCTAGGGCTCAGTTATTTAATGTGGAACATGATTTTACTCATGTTCAGAGAGCATAGCCCAGAAGATTTTGGGCTATAAGCAATGAAGGGCTCAGATCCAATCACAACAGGCCACATAAGTACCTTATAGATAGGGATGGGGGAAGGAATCATAGAAATGGATGTTTGTCTAATCAGTATCAGGAAGTACCTAAGTGTATGGGAGGATCAATTCCTAGAAAATATGTAGATGCTTATAGGGTCTAGGAAGTCTCTGGCCTGCTCCCGTGCTGAACTTGGAAGTTGAAACCATGCAAATATCTCCAACTCTCAGGAATGCTTAGTGTGATCCCAGGGTAGTTGGTGTTTTTCTTTTCTTAACACACTATAAATTGTTCACCAGATGCTTAAATAAGAGCTCAGAAGCCATTTGTCTGCTCTGTGATGTAGGTTGATCCAGAACTGGTGGTCACGACATAAAATCAAGCGAGGAATACAAGATGCTTCTATACCTCAGTGGGAAAATGATTGGAATCTGCAGCCCATGAATATTCACGGACTTATGGATGAGTACTTAGAAATGGGTAAGGAAAGAACCTTCTGCAGAGCTGTTTGGCCTTCTTGATACTGTTTTTCTACTTCACGCGGGCTTTGGTTCAAGAGAGAAAACCATCTCTCTCCTTTCCAACCCTATGTGTTCTAAAACACATCTGCACCTTTATCTCAGCAGAGCTAGAGAAGATATTAAGGCAATGCCCTTGGAAGGGTCACACAGGTTGTCCTGTGTCAGCCTTCATTTTACCAAAATGAAGGTTTTTCTCATAGTAAAGCACTTAGCTTTTGAGCAAATATTTTAAAGGAACAAAATTAAGCAGAACCCACTCCTTTGTTAAGAAATGTACCCTCCACCCAAATTAAGCAATGATTCTTTCTCACGATAAACCTTTGCACAGACCCAGTCCGAGTGTTGGCTACTTCGAGAAACTTATTTATATTAAAAAAAAAAAAAAGGATTCCCATTCCAGCTGTTAAAATCACTGTATGTTGTCTTGACATTTGCTTTTTTTCTGGCCTTCAGTTTTCTCATCTATTAAAAGAGACAAGATTAGGTCTCCTGCGTCCCTTCTAGAGCTAAGCATTTTTCTTCAAGGCCTCCTCTTTGACTTCTTGTTTCTTTACTTTTCCTTCATGCTGCCTGGTATAGAGGGGGAAAGCACAGGGACGTTCAATCTATCGAGATCTTAGTGTGAATACAGGTTTTATCATTTTCTAGCCATCTACCCTTTAGCAAGTTTGCTAAACACGTATGAGCTACAGTTTCCTCTACTAAAATAGGATAAGCATATTTACTTTGTAGGGATGTTGGAAAGATTAAGGACAATTTATGTAAAGCACAAAGAAGGCACTCAATAAGTGATGTGTTGATATCACTCATTCTCCCATGCTCTCCCTTTGCAGTGTTGCAGTTTGGTTTTACCACCATCTTTGTTGCGGCTTTCCCTCTGGCGCCTCTTTTGGCTTTGTTAAACAATATCATTGAAATCAGACTGGATGCATACAAATTTGTCACCCAGTGGCGGAGACCTCTGCCAGCCCGAGCAACTGACATAGGTAAGATTCAGAAATTCAGTGGTTTTTGCATTGCTGAGGCCAACAGGGGCTTGATCTTGCTTAGCACCACGCAGATTTCCAGTGCTGGGACTCTCTTCCAACCATAACAAAACTGAGCAGTTTTAGTCAACAAAAAAAGGAAATGGACGCTAACTTAGCTGAGAGTAGATTCATACTAAACGTGCTATTTCATAAACTTGTTTGTAACGAAAAAGGATCTCATATATATCTTTCCATGTTAATAAATATAGCTCTGCTTCGTTCTTTATAATTGCTTCACACATTTCTATTCTATGTTGTATGACATTTAAAAAAAAATCAGCCCCCTAAATAGGGATATTTAGATTGCTTCAGTTCTTTGCTATTATAAACAACACTGAGGTGAACATCTTTATACATACTTGTCTGATTATTTCCTCAAGATAAATTCCTAGGATGGAACTCCTGTGTCAAAGAGCATGTATATCTAAAATTTTGATAAATAATTTGTCAATATGGTCTCCAGAAATATTGTGCCAATTTTTACTCCCATTATAAACGAACGGATGCCTGTTTCTCCATTTCCTCTACAATTCCAGGTGTAATAAGGGTTTTTTTTTCTTTTTGTATTGTTGTTCGATCCTCAATCTGAGGAAGAAAAAATGATATTATATTTATTTGCATTTTTTAACTATGAGATTAAATATATTTGTATTTCTTTACTAATTGTGTTTATGCCTTTTGGCCATTATGTCTGATTTGGTCATCTTTATCTCATATTAAGAATATTAACCTTTGCTATACAGGTTGCAAACACTTTCAAATGCTGGTTTGTAATTTTCACTCTATCATGAATAAGGTTTTAAAGTGTATATATAATCAAATTGATATCTCTCTCTTATAGTTGCTATTATGTATGGCATTCTTAGAAAGGTCTTTTAGAACTCATGAGTTTTCACCCATTGTTTTAATTGTTGTTTTGTATTTTAGATGTATGTGTGCTATTTGGTTTTTATTTGTTTGTTCACATTTTTTGATTTTATTTAAATTGTTGATCCATCTGGAATTTGTTGTTAATGAAGGGTTTGAAATTAAGACCTAGCTTTTCTTTCTCTAATGGATTCCCAAATGTCCCAAACCATTTATTAAATGAATCCATCTTTTTTTTAACTTGTTTGAATTATCTTTATCTTATAGTAACTTCTATATAAAGTTAGGTATATTTCTAGAATCTTCATTTATCCCATTGATCTGACTACTTATTCTTGGCATACTATTTTAATAAACTATAGTTTTATAATAGAAATTCTAAGTATATGGAACTGCAAATCCATACTTCTCCTTCTCTTTTTTGGGAATATTCTGGCTAATATTGCAAGATTGCCTTTTCAGTTAATTTTACTCACTTATATATTCCATAACCAACAAAGTCAATTTTAAATATACTAACCTATAGCGATTTAATGCCATTCAACTTGAGTTCCCATTTTTTGAAGGAATTAAAATTATGGCTGTTATTTAATTTGGATGTATTTATTATTTCATTATTAAAATAGTATAAGCACATTAAAGGAAATCTAGAAAATAAATCAAAAAAAAAAAAGAACTCTCATTCCAGCTTTAGTTGGTGTTTATTACACCTTCCAATGCATAGATTATTACTTTTTAAATTTTGCAAGATTGTCTTGTTCAAGCCAGACCACACAAAGGTATAAAAACAATAATCCTTCTCCCCCTTTCCCTTTCCTTCTACTACAGGGAATCGACGGTATCAATTAAGCCTGTATCCTTTGTCAATGTTTTCTTATTCATACAAGTAGACAAAAAATATTTATGCACACATACAGGGTTCTGCATTTTTTTCTTTGTGAACATCCTCCATCTCAAAACACATTGGTGTAATTCATTTTAATAGAGTAGTAATATTCATAGTATGGATATACCATAAATTTTGTAGTCATTTACTTAATTTCCCTCCTACAAGCAGGAATAAACATACATAGACATAGCTATAGATAAATATAGAGATAAATATAGATGTAGATATATGTATATTATATATCACATATCCATATATGTGTGTATACAGTGTATCTGTAGTATAGATTCTGAAAAGTAGGCCTACTGGATTAAAATGTATTCATATTTTAATTTTAAAAATGTCAGATTAATTACCACAAAAGTGGTAACAAGTCATACTTCAAACAATTATATAAAAAAGTTTCTGTTTCCACAATCCCTGAATAGCTTTGGATGGTATAAGACTTTCAGATCTTTGACAAACTGTAGATAAAATATCTTATTTTTTGAAGGACATTTCTCTGATTACTAATGATTGAAAGCTTTTTAATATATTTATTGGCTATTTGCATTTCCATAGCAGATTGCTCATTTGTATTCTTTGCCCATTTTTCTCATGGGTGCTTTGCCTTATTAAAATTTTAGGACATTTTTGTATGTTAGGTGTAATAGCCCCTTGTCTGTTTTTTGTGAATCAAATATTTTCTCCCTTGCTATTGTTTTCTTTTAACTGGATATCATTACTTTTCTAAAAATAAATGTTAAATTTTGATGGACTCAAGTATTTCTTTATGAATTTTTTTTATGAATTATGATTTCCTGTCTTATGATCTTTCCAACTAGGTAAATGTTAACATCTTTTTTATTTTCACTTTTTTTATTACAACTCAATGTAGCCACATTATAAAGATTTTGAAAAATAAAGAAGGTTGGGAGGAGGTGAGTTGCCAGGCTAATCAATCACCTTTAGTACTTTTTATAAAGTTCTGTAAAGGAATACTTAATACATTTAGCACTTTTGAGTATTCCTTTCCAGAACTTTTTTTTAATATCAATATTTTTAAAGCTGATTTTAATGCTATTTGAAACATCAGTTTTGACTGTAATCAATAGTATATTGATACTATATACAATTTCAAAGCCTTTTCGTGTGTCTGTGTGATGCTGGATGGGCCTGTTAAGAAGCAGAAAATGTCAACTGGTGGTTTCTGGGTCTTGACACCAAACTGGTTTTACTTTTTTGTATTTTACTTTAAAAAGGTACTTGACAAAGATAAAGGCAAAACCCATAGTGGATATAGATATTTCAGACTTTACACAACGATGTAGAACTTGAAGATTTTTGTTTGTTGTCTTTATTACCTCAGCAAGTTCTGCATAGGCTTTGAAGAATCTTAAGCAACTGTGCCATGTCTCATCATTACAGACTTGAACCAATTTCTAATGATATTTTAATGTTCACATGTCTCTAGAGGGGGTCTGCCTTCCCTCTGAAGAAAGGTACTCAATGGCTGTAATATCTGTAGTGAGATGCTATACTGAGAAAGTGAATAATGGTCAGAGCTGTGGTTCCAACATAAGTAAAACATTCTTTCCAAAATAAGATCGATTAGAGGGTTTTATTTTTGCATTTTATTCACTATCTTTAATCTTTCTCCTACTAGGTATCTGGTATGGAATTCTTGAAGGAATTGGTATACTGGCTGTGATCACCAATGCGTTTGTAATTGCTATTACGTCTGATTACATCCCACGTTTTGTCTATGAATACAAATATGGCCCCTGTGCGAGTCATTTTGAATATGGTGAAAAGTAAGGTTGAAATTTACACATTCTCCTGATATATTTTATTTGTAATTAAAATGGGAAGTTAGTGGGAAGTTTTGTTCTGTGACCATTAAGGGCAGTGTTTCTGATCATTGCATTTATAATGTGTTTGTTGGATGAAATCAAGTGGGATGAAAAGGGTGACAGTTATTTTTTACAGCAAATAATTTTAGTCTCTCTCTGTTTTTACTTGTAAATGCATCACTGGTATCAAAATGTTAAAAACATTATAGTGTATTTAGAAGTCAAATTTAGAACTGGAAGAGAACTTAGAAATCATCCGGTACAGTCTTCTGACTCCACAGATTGGGAAATTGAGGCCCACACTAGTTAATCAAATTGCCGAAGGGAATAAAGCTAGTTTGTGGGGAGAAACAGGATGAGAAGGAACTGTCAACTATATGACTAGAGATTTTTCTAAAGGAATTTATAGCTAGGGATTTTAAGGTACAGAAAATGTTACCCTAAACCTGTCTCCTTTTGGTTGTTGTTGTTGTTAAAATTTAAATCCACACTTTAGAGCAGGTTTCTCAATATCTACGCTTGACATTTTAGACCAAATAAGTCTATATTTTGGGGGGCAGGGGGAGCTGGCCTGTGCGTTGTGGGAGGTTTAATAGCATCCCTGGTCTCCACCCAGTTGATACCAATAGCGACTTCCCTACTCCCAAATTGTGACAACCAAAATTGTCTCCAGACATTGTCAGATGTCCCCTGGGGGATGCAATCACCCAGTTTAGAGCCACGCTTTAGGAGATATGGGTTTTTCAGCTCTTTCTTTCTTGAAAGCAGGTGTTAGGGAAGAATTCCGAGAGCCCTAGATTTGGGGAACAGAGAAATTGGGTTTTAGATGGAGATTGGCCTTAGGTGTGGAAGTAGTGACAGAGAAGCTTCTTCCCCCCTGCCCTCAGAAGCATGTTGGGCATGCATCTTATATTGATGCAGGACACCTGCCCCAACAGGCTGCGCCCGGGTTTAGGATCAACCTCTGCTGATGAACTGATGTTTTCTCAGAACACTGAAATGCCTTTTTGAACACAAACATCTCAATTTTTCAAAGACGGGCAATAAAGTCATGAGATTTTATTTTATATCTTGGAGTCTTATCAGGGGATTTTAACTCAAAGTCAAACACCCTAGGTTCAAGTTCTAACTTAGCCTTTCACTGAAAGGCTCAATATGGATCCGGACCTATGACTAAGAAATGGTGTCTAAGGTAACATTTTATGAACTATTTACAAAACACTAAATAAATAAAATGGTTTAGTATTAATAATGAAAAACCAAAAAAATTCCGTTTTTTTCCTGAATTCAAAATAATCTAGAAGCAGATTTTAAGGGTTTAAAATACGTAGGCATGTTTGGCAGCCCTCTTCCTGAGAGCATTATTTGCTGTTGTCTCTCCTGCCATCTAGTGGCAGGTGAAATGAGATTGGTTGGTATCTGCTCCGTTTACGTTTCAGGTCCTGCCTTTCATGTAGATAGCACCTGACCCCCTCTCCATATTCAGTGACTCGTGGTGTAGAATAATGTCACGAAGAGACGTGGAGGGCTTATGGGAGGTTAAAACCACACGTTCATAGGGGTATCCTGTTATTTAATTTTTTCCAGGTACGCTTAGCGCTAAATTGGAGTAGATTCATTCAGATAGTCAAATTTCAGAGCAAGGTGACAAAAGGACGAAATGGCAGTGGAGAGGAGGGTATTGGCAAGAGAGCAGCTGAAATGAGAAACTGTGAGGTCTGGGATGGAGAGGGAAGGGAGTGAAGCCAGCATGGCCCTGTAATTGAGAATTCAGGGTTTAGAATGAGACGGATGTGCATTTGAATCCAGGTTCTAACAGTTGTTTGTCCTGGGGCAGTGGTTCTCAGCTATGGTCTGCAGGTCTCCTTCAGAGCCCATGAAGTCAATACTATCTTCACAATAATCCTAAGATATTATTTGCTTTCTTCACCATGTTGACATTTGCACAGATAGTGCAAGAGCAGTGGCGGATAAAATTTTCTGGTGGCTTTGTGTAACTCAAGGCAGTGGCACCAAAAAGTACTAGTAATGATTGTAATCCTCACTGTATAATCACCATTGAAAAAATGCCAGTAAGAAATTTCAGAATGTCCTTGAGGAAGCAGTAACAATTATTAGTTTTATCAAATCTCCACCCTTGAATAAATGTCTTTTCAATATTCTATTTGACAAAATGCAAAGTGTGCATAAAGTAGTTCTGCTGCATACTGAAGTTTGATGGTATCGCAAAGAAAAGCACTGTGTGATTGTTGGATTTGCAAACTAAACAAATTTTTTTTAATATGAAATAAGGATTGCCAAACTATGATTATTCAGACTTGAGTATTTGGCAGACACTCTTTTATAAAATGCACAACACTAGCTTGTCGTTTTAAGGAAAATAATTGACAGTATTCGTCACCATTAGTAAAGCTCAAACTTGGAAGTGAAAATTAGAATTCTGGATAATTTTGTCTCCCACTGTGAGCATGAAAGGTTCCCAATACTTACAGATTTTTTTCCTGATAAAAATCAATGGTGATATTAACAACTGTGATATTTTTCATAGTCTGGAGTAAAAATATATCAATATTTGGAAGATCTATGTAATTCAGGGAACAAATATTTTCCAAATGACCCATATTTGATGTCACAGAATCATGCATGGATAAAGATGAATTCAAAATACAAGATAGACCTATGGATTTTAATGTAAAATCCGTATGAAAAGTTCATTGATACTTTAAGATTCTTCCACATTGCAACTAAACTGTAAGAAGTGACCACGTGTAGAGCTTTGGTGTAATATCAAAGGAAAATATCGACAGTTATCTGAAGTGCTGTTAAAATAGTCTTCCTTTTCTCAACTGCCCATCTATGTGAGGCCAGATCCTCTACGTACTCTTCAACCAAAACAGCATGCTGCAGCAGGTTTAATGCAGAAGCAGATACAAGAATCTAGCTGTCTTCTGTTAAGACAGACACCAAGGGGTTTGCAAACGTGTACAACAATGTCATTCTTCTCACTACATTTTTTTCTTTTGGAAAATATAGCTATCTATTTATATTAATTTATAATGGATTTGGTAGTTATTGTAAATGAATTAATAGATAAATATTTTCTAAATTTCTCAGTTTTAATTTCTAATATGTTAAATTATCAATAGATATACCCCTATGCAAAAAGCTCCTTGAGATCCTCAATAATTTTTAAAACTATAAAGAGCAAATGAGACCAAAAATTTTGAGAATTATAGGTCTAGAGAGTGTTACTTAGTCTCTGTAAACCTTAGTTCTTTATATGATGGAGATGATAATATATATGTTCTAAGGTTATTATAAAAGTTAACCCTGACCACAATTTAATAGCTAACCACCAGGATAGAGATTTGTATTTGTTTTGTCCATTGTTGAATACCAAGCATCTAGAATTTTTCTAACAAATGATAGATTCTCAAAAAATATATATTGAAGAAGTTAATAAATAAATCACAAACATGTTTATTGATTGGCTGCTTAATTATAATTAACCAAATAGTGTTATATGCATGTACATTTATAAAACATACATTTATAGAGTTTTAATGCATAGGAAGTAATTACACAATGCCTAGTGCATGGTAAATGCTTAATAAAGGTAAGGGCGAGATAGGACTATTGGGGAAAGTGGAAGACAAGAGTCTGTCTCATTAAGGTGCAGTTACAGGCATAGTGGGCGTTAGGGAATAGAACCGGAGAGCTGAGTTGCTAGGAGTTAATAACTAGCATGAAAGGAATAATGGCCCTTATTAAATCTGTCATTTGTAATGAAGGAATTGGACTAGAAATTTATGAATCTCTGAATCACATGATACTTTTCTCTTCTCCCAGCTGTTTGAAGGGATATGTCAACAACAGCCTATCCTTCTTTGACCTGAGTGAGCTTGGTATGGGAAAATCTGGTTATTGCAGGTACTTCCTTGTGAATTACCATTATCTTTTCTTCTTGCTTCACTATTCCATCTCCTCCCCTCTACGTGTTGATGAGCCCATTTAACCTGTCGTTTTGAAATTTCGGCAAATCAAGAACATTTGGGGCCTCCACACTTTGGTCTCTGATCTTCAAATTCTTTGTTTTTGTGGATTTTAGGTACCGAGACTACAGAGGTCCCCCTTGGAGTTCCAAACCATATGAGTTCACCTTACAGTACTGGCACATCCTCGCTGCTCGACTGGCCTTCATTATCGTGTTTGAGGTTAGTCACAGGCGAATAGAATTACTGTCGATAAACACTTTCAAACTGAGGTATTAGTTGCCTCTTTGAAGACTTCCAGAGAAGACTGGAATATGTCCCAGTGAAAGGCTCAGATACAATGCAACCACATAAAAAGTGCAAAAAAGCAAGAACTGAATAATGTAAGGAGGTAGGTTAGTGGGTATTTATCCCAGAAAACTGCGATAAAAGAAGCTTCTTACGGTTGAACTGAAGACTTAGTTTTGAGCCTCCTAGTAATCAAATTTAGAAAGGAAAGGGTGATTATCATCTAGTAAAGGAATCCGTATCTATTAATCAGGGTAGAGAAACTTATTTTCTGAACAATCAACTCTAATTACAGTTAGTCACATGTGTATGTGTACAAGGGACATTGCATAATTCAATAAATTATGCCTGAGAACACTTTAATAAAAAGTGCATAGATTGTGATTATCAGAGTCATGCAATAATATTAGACCGTAGTTCTGAGAAGAAATTTTAGAGAGCCTACAGTATTATTGCCAGGCTTAGTATATAACCAGCTTGATATGATGAAGAACTTAGCACTGGAATATATTGAATATCTATTTTCTAAGATACCACTTAAGGTCTGTGGAAAAACTTTGAATGCATCTGTTTCCTATGGCCAAAATTACACAGGGAAAAAGATAACCATATGTAAGACTTCTGGAAAAAAATCTTTTTAAAGTCACCTGTATCTCCTAACTGATCTCCACAAAGTACTTCAGATTTTGTAGTGAAATGTCTTTCATCTGTAAAATGAAATGCTTACCTCTAAGGTTTAATCCGGGACTAAATTCTGTTCCTTGGTGACTCTATGGGCCTATAAAAATGTCTTCTGTTGAAGTGTGACTTTCTCCTTTATTACAGGTAGCACAGGTAGCATAGAGTTTAAGGCACATTTCCAAGCCGGGGATTCCGAAGTCTTTTTTTATTGTGTGTGTTTTTTTAATGTACACTTTTTTCATATTCTTCATCTTCTTTTGGAACTCGGGTGGACAGACTTAGTTCATCAGGTGCCTCAGTTCACAGCATCCTGTCATCATGGATCCGTATGATTCCTTCTTTGTTTTTTCCTCTTCATTCCCCGTTACTGATTCCATTACCCACTCTCTCCAAGGGCACCCACGCTCTTTTCTTCAGTGGGAGTTTTTCCAATTGTTTATTCAAATATATGTTTATAAAAATACGTATATAGTATTATTTTGAGTGTTCTTTTTTCAAAATTACTTCAAAGGTATTATGTAATAACTCATTTTTATCTCTTACTCATTTTACTTTTTTAGGTCTAGAGAGAGATCTGTGAGGTCTATCCATATTTAGGTAATTTCTTGTATCTACTTACAGTATTTTGTCAAATTTAAATACCATATTCCCCTATGGATGGGTACTTAGGCCTACAACAATTCTCTCTACCGCAATAAATCTCTTCTTAAGAATTTTGGACATGTTACCTTGTAAACACGTTTAAGAGTTTTTCAGGAGCATTATACTTAGGTGTGGAATTGTTAGTTTATGTGCATACTCAGTTTCACATGATACTGACAGATTGCTCGCCAAAATTCCCTTAGATTTTCACATTATCTGAATTTCTAATATTTTCTATTGGATAAGAGTAAGATAATAGTTTTTTGTTTTGTTTTGTTTTGTTTTAATCTGTTTACTAAAGACGTTGACCATCACTTTTAGAACTAGAAAGACATTTTGGTTTCCTTTTTTGTAAATTTATAACCTTGATCCATTTTTAGTTGAGTTTCCAGTTTGTTGCCAAATTTCAAGATTTCCTTGTATATTCTACGTATTAGCTAGTTATAAATTCTACATATTCGCTAGTTATAAACATAGCGGATATCTTTTCCTTGTCCATAACCTATTAATTTTTTCTGTAAACAGATAATGCTTAATTTTAGTGTAGTCAAGCCCATCATTGTTTTCTTTTTATGGCTTGTGCTTATTTTGTGTAGCTTATTTAGGAAATTTTCTCATCTTCGATTCAAAAGATATTCTACTATATTTTTTTACTGTTAATTTTATGGTTTTACCTATCACATGTCTTTAAGATACCTGGAGTTTTTACAGACTGAGGGTAAAGCTTATTTTTCTTATTCTCCATAGAGTGAGATAATTTTTGTACTGGTCTTTGCTAAGTAATCTATTATTTATCCACTGAGTTGTAAAGCCACCTCTGTAATTTTCCCACTTCCTATATATGCATGGGGGTATCCCTGGCCTAGGTATTCTGGTTCATTACTCTGTTTGTCTGTTCCTGGGTCACTATCACACTACTTCAATGCTATGCTTTGTAGTGCAATATATCTTCATATCTAATAAAGCAAGCCACTTCCCACTCCTGCCTCATTTGCTCTTATTTTTTAAAATTGCCTTAGCTGTTTGGTGTTATTAATCATCTATGTAAATTTTAGAAGCCATTTTCGGGTTTCCCCAGATATCATGCAAGAATTTTGGTTAGAATTACATTTGTAGAAATCAAATTTTGACTTATTTACGAAATCTGTGCTGTTTCATTAATGAGCATGGAATTTATTTAAATCATTCTTATATCCTGTTATAGAGTTTTAAAATATTCTCTTCCTTGTTTGTTCCTTTTTTTTTCTAAACTTTACAGATATTTTTATTACTGTTACGAATACTATCTTATCCTCCATTATACGATTTGCTTAAGTTTTGCTGGTGTGCTGGAGTGCTAATGGTCTTTCTAAGATGAGCATTATCCCTTGCTTAAGTTTCTTACTGGTTCTAATATTCTGTCTGTTAAATCTGTTCGATTGTCTTTTCAAGTGATAATACCAGTTGCAAGTAATGACAGTTTTGTCTCTTCACTTCACTCCTGTGTTGCTGGAGATTTCAGTATGGTGTCCAATAGCAGTGGTGTGAGCAACTATGTCTTGTTTCCAACTTTAATGGAAATACTTCTGATTTGTTTTTCTTTAAGTATAATATTTGCTATAGGTGTTTTGTTTAAGATAAACTCTATCAGTTTAGGAAAATTGTCGTGTATTACTGGTTATAAAAGTGTTATTAAACTTTAGCTTTTTAAAAAATAGATGTTCTTTTTAATATTGAACCATCCTGCCATATGAACCTCTCTGTGTTAATCAGTTTATAGGGTCATTTATTACCATTGTATAGGACTTGGAGGATATTCTTCTTTACTAATTTAAATTATAAGAAATGTTTTTAATTTTTATTTCTATACTCTTGAGACACATTGCTGGACATTTCTGTGAGTATCAAATATTTAGTCATGAAAGGAGCGCCTGATCTGCTTTTCTATGGGAAAATGTGAACTGCTTTACCGTGACCTACTATGTGCTGCAGTTTCCTGGGACACAAGAGAAAGCCCAGTTAGAAGAGCCTTGAATTCTTCCTTTCCACATAGAGACTATTGTCATAAAGTCCTCTAGGTAAATGAGTTCTTTTCCACAGATTGTCCCAACTCTATCAGTATCAGATTTGTTTTCCTTTTCTGAGAAATTGAAAGGCCTACCCTTCTTCATGGAAAAAAAAAAAGGGTGCATTTCTAATAATTAGGAGGTAATATTTAAGTAGTGCTTATACTGTGCCAAGTGCTCCTTTAAGCCCTTCACATATATTTACTCATTTAATCCTCATACCAGCCTTTAAGAGATACTATTATTACCACTATTTTAGAGAAGAGACACAGAGGACATAAGTGATTTGCATAAGGTTACACAGCTAGTGAGTGTTAGGAAGGGTTCAGATTAGGCAGTCTCATTCAGCATCTGTACTTTTAACCACTGGCATATTACCTCTTGATTTTTGTTCCTGCTTTTTTTTATACTTTTGTCAGTCTATTTTTTAAAATATAATATATTTTTATCATAAAAGAATTATGTAATAGAGATAAAACATTTAAAGCAGTTATAATGATATATGAACTTAATAGAGTAGAAATTCTGAAAATTACGTGTGCTGGTGGTTGACCCTAGTCTCAGCACCACAGGTGGACTGTGTTCTGTGTGGTTTCGACACTGTGTATTACGATCTATCTGGCCTGGGTTTCCCCTGGATGGGATCTTTCTCAGCTGTGTATAACCATGCGTGTCGTCATAGTATGGCATAATATATGAGGATGTTATAGATGTGACTGGAAGATTCACTCAGTGTTTATAAAGTGGTATCAACACATGGCAGTGAAAAGAGGAAGCAATTCTTTGTTTCCTCCTAACAGTTATGTGACAGAAGGCAACAGTAAGATTCCCAATATAATTTTTGATAATATTAGTACTCTGGATGGTACATACTGAATTCCGATGCTTGACTGTAAGGCAAATGCAACATTGTTTATGATGGTTCTGTTTTATAATTAACATTTCAGAATCTTTGAAAAGTGTACTTTCCCTCTTAAATTTGCAGCACCTTGTTTTCGGGATCAAGTCATTCATCGCTTACCTGATTCCAGATGTACCAAAGAACCTGTATGACCGAATACGACGGGAGAAGTACCTCGTCCAAGAAATGATGTATGAGGCTGAACTAGAACATTTGCAACAACAGCGGAGAAAAAGTGGCCATCCTGTTCACCATGAATGGCCTTAGTGGATACCTGCTGCCCAGCAGGGGCAATACCACGAGTGGGAATGATGGCAACTTCAAATTCTAGGTGGGATCTAGGAGGAAGGCATACCTGGCAAACTATGTGTGTAATATGCTACTTGGAAATGCATCACAGTCATCTCTGGGGTTTAGAATATCCAGGCTCATAGGGAAGACAGAGATGACTCATGACCTTAACAAATGGTTAGATTGACATTACAGGAAGCCAGGATCACATCCTCATAGCCAGCCTCAGGGAATTGTGTCGTTAGAGACCTCCACCTTCCATCAGCTGCAGTATAATAGGAAGGGTGATGGGGAGGTTTCTGGAGACAGATTTCCATGTAAATGTTCACAAGCCAGGCATGACTTGATGTATTATGTGGTTTTAACTCACGCAGTAATCTGACTTTGGAATCTTGGGTTGAGATGAGATACTTACAAGAAATAACTTAAATCAGTGATTGCCTTTGCTGCCAGAACTCCATGTCCCTTCAGCTTCCAGTTTTTTAGGAATTTCCCTTGTTTCTCGCTGAGATTATGGATCTGTGCCACAGGGAATTTATGCTGCTTAACAATGACTATGCAGTTGAAGAGTTGCACATCACATTCCGTAGTTGAACCAAACATCTAAGATTCCAGAAAGACTACCATTCATTGAAATAATATTCTGTTGCATTGGCCACATTCAAATCTGTTTTATCACTTTCAGACCCAGTTGCACTGCCTGTTTTTTTTTTTTTACTAAATGCCAATAGAGCCACATACTTATAAAATATGGGTGTTTATTCTCATATCATTTAGAACATGACTAATTCATATTTTACTGCGGAAGGCTCTTTTATAGTATATTTTATTTTTTCCTCCCTGATTTATTACACCTCTCACAGAATAACTTGAAATGCTGTAAATATGTTGGTTTTCCTTGTACCTTTGCACCTTGACAATATGTAATGCAAGTTACCCTTTATGGACCTCTGAGACCAGTTACACAGTCCACCATTGTGACTTGTTTATTCAGGACAACAGAAGCCAGATGCTTGCAACACATGCTTTTCCAACAGTGTGCACTCTTGCTCAGGAGCTAATGAAAACAATGCATGAATATAAATTTATATTATTTGTAAAAAAAAAAAAAACACATTTTTTGAGTTTTACCTTCTTTTCATCTCTGGGAGTTTTCTGTTATTATTTCTTTGATAGATTGATTTGGTTTATTTTTGAAAACTCTCTGGAGACAAAGTCAAATTAATTGTGAAAGACGTCATTTTGCTTTGTTGTAGAATTGCTGTTTCAGTGTCAGCTCAGTATCTGTGAGTGTAACTGTTCACAGAGAGATGAAGTGGGAATGGTGGAGCATTCAGCTAAAGAAAGTCTGGTGGAGACATTAACTATGGGGACAGCATGGGAAGACAGGGAAGAGTTGAATTATGGGAATATAGAGGAGAAATCAAGACATTTTCCCTTGCAAAGCAATCAAAGCTAATCTCAGTTTTCCTTTCCTGGGAATGGGGTGGAGAGTCACACATATTCACACGTTCATACATGTATATGATTGTTATGATTATTTGTCCAATTAATTTTTGTCAGATTAAACAAAGCACAGTTATTTCCAAAATCTATAAAGACCACATTAAACACAGTGGAAATAAAGCTACTTTGTAGACATGCTAGGGTTTCTCTAGTAAGAAAATTACAGAGTTTCTCTTACTAGAAAACTATTTTTATAATTCTAACACTGAAAATGATTTTTTGACTTTTCCTTCTTTCCCTCCAGGGAAAAGCTGATAGACTATAGTTGTTGGTTGGTTGGGTGGTTTTTGTCAGAAATATTCACTTCCCTACTTGCCCCCTGATTCTGAGCAAGAGGAAGGACCTCAGACTCTAAACTGCCCTCCCACACTCTTGCCACATGAGAGCCTTCCATTCACCTTCTATGGAGGTTCTCTGTCTGCCACCTGCTCCTTCATAGCAGCTACTTCCACTAACGACACAAAAGAGTTTTAAACTCCTCCATTTTTGTAGCGTCTGCATTTCCTTTTCTTTGTTAGTTAAATGTATACACATGCCTGAGAATAAACACTCTCTATGCCTGTTGAAGACATAAGTGACCTTGACATTTATGTCTGTACCAAATTAGGGACACAAGACAAAGACGTTTGTCATACAGTAGAGCAAAGAATAATGATAGTCATGCCCTTGAGAATTCTTCTCTTTCTGAGTTATATTTATATAACCCCCCTAAGAGTTTAAAATCATATTGATTGCTTAGAAAAATATGAAAAGAGAAAGCTGTTTTTAATAAAAAATTATAATATATTGATTTAGAAAATACTTCTCCGATATTTTTTGAAACCGGTGGAAAAATAGAGAAATAATGAAAAATTATGTGAAATTTTCCTTTTGCAAAACAATGCAGTAGAATCTAGCTATGCCTTCATCATTGTTGACAGCAAAATATTGACAGATCTCACAGAATTAGTTTTAGATCCCTCTGCTTTAGTTGAGAGAAATGTTTTATATCATGATTTTCATATGAATACAAATTATTTCTCAAAGGTTTATATAGCACACACTATTCTCAGGAATTCTGTATTACATGAATGCTGCTTATATATTTTCATATTCTAAAATGTTGTCTTTTCAAGGAAATAACTAATATATATGTGCATGCAGTCTGCCTTGACAAGTTGTTCAAAGCTGAAGCCCTTTCACAGTACAGCGTGTGGAAACTAGCTCTAGATCATAGCTGAAACCGTTTGCAGTTGTCTGTGAGTCTGTGCACGCACTTGTAGATAACATGCTTCTGAGTGACTGCATGATGAGATACAACTTCCGAATGCCGCACATTCTTCCAAAATGACCCAGCACGATCTGTTGTAGAATGGAATGAAAAGGAACCTTTTTCACTCAATAAATTATCATGTGATATGGTATTTTTCCTGTAATTTGCATGTTAAATTTGATCCTACTTGCTTTTTAAATACTAGGTTGGGATTTGTTGAGTGCATATGGGGAGGAGGATTGCTCCTTCTTTAGCTCGACAAGGCGATAGTTTCCTACTCATGCAAGTGCTTAGTCTACTCTTAAAAATGTTGACTTTTTCTCTTCTGATGAGCTCATTGTCATCATCGAGGCTTTTGCACATGAAAGTGCAGATGGTGTATCATATTGATCCCAATAATGCTTTGTGCTAAAAACAGATGGGAGAGGAAGCTTGATTCGTTCTTATAAGGGTAATAATGCTTCTAAATGCTTCTATCACACAGAGCATATTTTTTCTTCACACTTGGGCTAGCTCTACCAACCGCCATCAAAATCTCCTTAGGACAGGAATTTTAGCACAGATATAGTTCATTCCAAGGAAGGAGGGCATGTACAGGCACCCTAGCTCACTCTCAACAAGAGGCTACCACATTTCCCATTTTTTTCTCGACTTGATGGTCAAAATCAAAAATCCAGGTTGCCTGAAGAGTTCCTTCACTGATATGGCTGAATTAATTAGTCTGTCAATTGGGGGCAGGTAAACATAGGCCCAGGGTGTAGTGTGTGAGTGTGTGTGCGTGCACGTGCGTGCACGTGTGTAAGTTCACTCACACACATCGCTAGGCATATTTTTTGTGTGTAAAAACCAGTGAGCACCTACTCTCTGTGAGATATGCCCTGCTCAGTCCTTTGATGGTCATCAGGTATTTCCACTCTGTTTTCCCCCAAATCACAGAATTAACAGGCTTTGGGGATAGTTGTAGGTTTTATCCAGAGAATCAGTTAACATCTTATCTCCTTTCTAGTATTCTCAGTAGCTCAGAAAAGAACATTTTAGGAATGGCCTGAAAAACTCAGCTTCTGATGGAAAGATGAGCATTTCCCTGCAAGCGTTTCTGTTCAAAATGAAATGTGCCCACTGTACAGAGCCCAAAGGGAAGATTGACTGGGCTCTAGCTTGAACCATTGATCAACCTCGGTTCCTGCCAGCTAGGATTTATATATTTGTAACAGTGATAAGTTACTTCAATTGAACTTGCCATCTGGATTCATCTGAAAAACCATATCCATAACCACCTGTGATGGTTTTCTTTCTAGAGAACACATGTATTATAGCCACTGTGTCCCAGCCACATCCACATTAAGGCATCTTTTTCAGGAAAGAAATATGAAAGCAGAACGTTTGGTAGAGAAGAGGCTCATTTGGGACCAGATCCAATTTCTTGTACAATCAAAGCCTATTTTCAGGGAGAAGCTTATACATCCAACCTTACTGCTCTTTGACAGTGCCAGTGGTGCCACAGCACAGTTCCCCCTAGAGAAAGCCCCCTGTTCTGTCGACAGCTGGCCCACAGTGGGAGTCTTGAGTACACTAGTCAGCTGTGTGGATGCCGCTGTGCATCTTTCCCTAGGAAGGAAGGGGTGAGATTTTCAGGCATATACCTATATTGACTTCCTCAGAAGATTTATTTCTATCTCAGTTCTCACTCTCTCTGTGGGAAAAAGCAGTGTCTGCTCTCTGTTTTTCAGAAAGAAAAAAATTCTTAAATTATTAATTGAAAAACAAAACTTAATGAGATCCACTTAGGTATTCCTCACAGAAATAATAGTCATGTGAATGGCTAGCCTCATGTGGTAGTCAAGCTGCCTCAAAACTTTCATAATTATTTTGTCAATGTCCATGCCACTCAATGCTGCCAGGTGAACACTTAGGCCAAATTTAATATCTTTTCTAACAAGTAGTATGAACGGAATTTTCCCACTGATTTTTACCCAGTATATTTTTCTGGTGATTTTCTCTAAGTGAGAAGAGGGGCGTTGGATGGCCAGGAAAATCTGATGGCAAAGATAATAGTGGAAGCAATGTTTTGGGGATGGTGGAAGGGACATAGGGACTTTCCTACCAAAGCAAAAATGTCTATTTTGCAAAATCCTATTTCAGTATCTGCTGTGCACACACCTTGCCTTCTTTCTAACTGCAATTTAGTTCATCTTTTAACATTCAGAAGTAGTGAAGGTATTTTTTCTTGCTTTTCCTTAACTATTTTAAGATTTACAAAGCTAAATCTACTAAGCTTAGATTTCAGTGACAACTCTAGCCAAAGAATAAACATATCAGTTTTCAATGTTGAAGATGAAAATGCACTTAAAAATATATGCAATTGTATCTTCCTCCGACGTGGGCTGTTGGCTTCTATATTGTATTTTTCGAGTAGGAAAGAGCTACTAGAGTTCCATAATTAAAGAGGGAATTTGGGGAAAGCCAGAAAAGACCCAGCGGATTTCTCCAAGCATTGTAGTTCTCAATAGGAGAAATTATGTTGCAACCATATATTTAGCCAGATGATTATAAATATTGATTTTTTTTCTTTCTATTCCCTAATTTTTGATTTGCAAATCATGAAAATATACATTATGTATTGTTAGTCATTAAACATTCCTTTTAAACTCTCTTAAGACATTTTAAAGCCAATTTAAAGAAGCTTTGCTCTGGTAATATATGTTGAATCAATTTTTAAGCTGTTGTCTTCAGGTCAGCGTTCTTGAAAATAGTAAACAATAAAGATACAGAAACCTTTATGCTGTAGATCCCAAATCAGTCAATAACATTGCCTGATTGCTCAGTTCTCTACAAATTCTGCCTGGCT